TTTGGGTTGCTTGTTAAGGTTACACGTTGGTTGTTAAGGTTACGGATTACTTGTTAAGGTTACGGTTAATCTTAACAACCAACGCGTAACTTTAACAAGCAACCCGTAACCTTAACAAGCAACCCGAAACCTTAACAACCAACGCGTATAACCTTAACAAGCAACGCGTATAACCTTAACAACCAACACGTAACCTTAACAAGCAACGCGTATAACCTTAACAACCAACACGTAACCTTAACAAGCAACGCGTATAACCTTAACAACCACGGTAAATTTCCCTGCAGAAAAAGATGAATGAAGTATTTAACACACACGCACAAGTTGTATGAAAAGACATAAAGTACAATAATTTCCAAGAACGACAGCACTATAGATGGTGGGGGATGATGGACCTGAGGGATGGAGAGGGGGGTTTGATGTGGCGTCTGGGGGAGGAGGGATTGGGTTGGGAACAGAGGCGAGGGGTCGAGCGGAGGCCGCGCTGGGATCGGCGGTGGACACGGAGGATCTCGGCGAGCGGAGGCGAGGGGTCGAGGCGTGAGACCGGAGAGGAGCTTCGGCCGCCACGAGGGTTGCAGAAGGGACGGAGGGGGCTAGGGCAAAAATGGTGGGGGAAGGAGGAGGGAGAGAGGAGGGATTGTATGGTTATTACGAATATAATATTAGAGAGAGAGAGAATGGGTATTATAGTCTTTACCTGTGTAAAATTCTTGGGCTTTGTGTTTTGGGGGCTCAGAGCACAGTTATTACGAATTTGGGGGTTTTTAGAGCGTTGAAAAAGTCTTGGGAGGGGGAAGCATATTTGTTACGAATTTGGGGGCTGGAAGCATTTTTCCCTAGATATATTTAGTTCATACTTTTTTACTAATTAATAAGATATATTTAGTTGCACTGGTAACAATAGGATATTAAAATCTATTTAGTTTTGACATCACAGTACTAAAAATCTACCACCAGTGATGTTTTTGGCGTCAAATTGTCACGATTGGATTCATTTAAAAGTGAAATGAGATACAAGTTGGGGTTGAAAAAAATTTTGGAGGAAAATTAGGGGTCTTGGTTGGTAAGAAACTTTTGGGTTTCAACTGAGCCTTTTTCTTTTGGTTTAGGGTTAAAATATGAATCCCGCTTTAACTCTCTGCCACACCAGTGTTTTTAATCATTTAAACTGGATCACATGCAGACATGTGAGGTTTTGGTGTGTAAATCTCATTAGCAATGAGAAATTTTACCTTAATAGTGAAATTGAATAAGTATTGGTACTTTATTGTTGCCGGTTCGTCTAAATATCCTATCAAACCGCCCGCATGCGAGTAGACGGTTCTGAATCATTCCTTGTGAAAAACAGGGGGCAGTTTAGTAGTCGTACCCCCCGGGGATTCTAATACGAAACCTAGTCATGACAATAATATACCGATCTGTTAATTTCGCCGATATGGAAAAAGCCAATAATCCCTTGTGTTCTCTCCTAGTGATTGCTCTCTCTCTCTCTCTCCCTCCCTCTCTCTCTCTCTCCGTCTTTAGCATTCTAAGAAGTCCAAACAGTCCATTACAAACCCCATGACCATTTGGCAACCAGTCCGTGGTTAACAGTAGCATTTATTTTAGCCACTCGCTCGTCCTTTCCATTGGCCGGCTACCGTCCCCTTTTTGTCTTCAGTTCAAAGCCCTTATCATCAGACGATGCTTCCAAATTCTTCTCTCCTAGACTTCAACCATTCAATGCCAAGAACACAAAGATTGAAACCCAAGACAAATAAAGGAAGGCATGCGAAGATATAAAAGATATGCTCAATGCTCATGCCCCCTTTTGAGGTGTATATCTTAACCTCTTTCAACTCCTTTTGTCTTCCCCTTTTCGTCAATATTTTGCATCCTTCGGTTAACTAGTAAGTAGTTTCTGGCTCCTTTAATTCCTAGGTATATACGGTTCTTTTTTATTTATATACATCATATAATCTTGTGCTATGCTTTGATTCTAATGATGTTACTTAGCATATAGCAAATTGTTCTTAAATTTGTGACGTATAACATGTTGATTTAACCAAGAGGGTCTAGCTGAGTTGGTAAGCTGCTTATGAGTAGTAGCCAATGTTAAAAGTTGGACTATCTTGGGGGGCGCCCACAGGAAATTAATTTACTTACGGGTGCCTTGGTAGCCACGCTCGGGGTTTGATACCCATGGTCCAAAAGATTGCGGGGAAGTTCCTTCATCAAACCCAAAAAAAAAATTTAATGAAAAGGTGAGTAACAAAACCAAAAAAAAAAACATGTTGATTTATCTAAGGGAGTAAATTTCTTTTGATATGGGTATATAGTTTGGATTTGAACTCTTGATAAATAATTCAATCGAGGATCTTCTTTTTGAAATTTGGATTAAATTTGGAGAGTACTATAAGTAAAGAATCATAAGTAATACTACTAGATTAATACCGATATTGATATTAATTCCATGAATCAGACTTCAGGCTTCGCCCTCATTCTTCAGAATTTCAATTTTGGTCTGTCTCGATATGAGTTTTGGTTTCGGCATTTGGAGAACTATGGGTTTCTTCTTTTGGGTGTGAACTCCACAAGAATATTTTACGTTTGGTTACCAGCCCACTCTAGAGCTTGTTCTTTCCTAGACAATGAGAGAGTATAACGATTGAGGAACGTCAACTAGAGAGCGTAATGTGATGCTTCATCACGGCGTCATTGCTATCAATATAGTTTCCATACGCCATTGGTGCTTGATAAAATGACAATTTTTTTTTTTCATTAGATTGAAATTCAACAGCTTTTCCAGTATTATGCGGTACATGATTGTGATGCCAATTTGTGTTTCTGAAAGTATATGGAATTGCCCTTTTATTATCTTGAAAGCATGATAACAATTTGGACGTGTCTGTTCCTCACGAAAGTTTAACTTAATTGGTTTCTCCATTCTACTTTATGTGTAGATAGATTATACTTGTAATACTGGAACTAATGATTAGAAATTTTAATTCCTCAGGATCCTGTTATCATGCATGTATCGAGATAAAAGTGATGGTTGAAGCTGCACTATGGTTTTAAAAGGTAAAATTACCTGCATATTTTGATTAACATCCAGGCATTAATTAATATTCAAGTTTTTCCGCATTCTTATAAAATGTTTATCAACTTTTTACGTAGAGCAGCCGTATGGGTGCTGATTGGGACCGTTGGTGTGGTTTTGATTCTGATATTTATCACAATATGGCACTTGTTCAAAAGAAAGTCGATACCAAATGAGCTACGGATTGATGATGGTATTGCAGCTACTGTTGATAAGCAGTTACCTTTATGCGATACTTAACGCCATGGACTAAAGTTTTGTTCACATATTTATTTTTAACTCCCGAGCAGCTTCCGAAGATTTTGTACTCGAGGAGCCTGATTGCAAGGAAATCCCGCTGAAGGAGATCTATGCTGCTACAAACAGTTTTAATTCTTCAAATTATATTGGTCAGGGCATTGCTGGTGAGTTTGTATGTGAAGTTGCATGAACAGAAAAAATAGGAGCTTTTGCATATAGAATCCTTCAGATGCGTGTAATACTGGTTACAAATAAACAGTGCTATAAGGCACAGAGAATACCATGAATGTGATTGCGTTCACAGTGAACGTAATGTTCCATGATATGATCGTTTTAGGTTTGAGATAAAATCTTAACAGAAATTTCAGATGATGCAACAATCAATTCCACCACCAACCCTGCTAAATATCAATTGAAGTTTTCTTATATGTGTATATGACAAGCTTAAAGAAGGAGAAGAACTGCTGGACACGTATAAATTGGAACTCGTACAACTGTCCTTGATACGTCTATAAAATGTACCTGAGTTCAGCATGTACTAGTTATTAGTTTGTTTACATGTGAATGTTACGCATTCTGCTTCGTGGGATTGCAACTAATCTAGATCACGGGCGGGATGTCATTTTCAAGCTAAATTGAATGTGATGCAATTTATGATTATATGGTGATCCCCTTCTTGTGCTGTAAGACGAAATTTTATTGAGAAACAAGTCACAGTTCTGATGTCTTTCCATTTAGCATTAGTCAGAGTTGTATCTCACAGTGGCATTAGAAATCAAAATAAATTTCCAAAACATAAATTTTATCCACTTGTTTAAAATATTGTAGTAGATAACTGGATTTCATGGACATTAAATTATGCTTGTTATGCTCGATAGTCATATCTCCTTGATAAGCATCTATTTTACTTAATATATTTTCTATGCAATTTCTGATGACTAATTTTCACTTTCTAATTCTTTTGGTGACCAGGGAAGGTGTACAAAGGTGTGCTTTCAAATGGTTGGCATGTTGCGATTAAGCACATACTTAAGGATGGACATGCAGAGACATTTGTCAGAGAAATTACGAGCCTGTCTCATGTTAGACACCCAAACCTTGTGACTTTACGAGGTTATTGTGAAGAAGAAGATGATTGTTTTCTTGTTTATGAGCTATGCCCCAATGGCAGTTTATCAGAGTGGATATTTGGTAATGTTTTTTTTTTTTTGCAAGCTTTTAGTATAGTTATTGTTGAAGTTACTGAGTTCTCTAGTACATAGTAGGAAAGGAAAAATGCCTCTCATGGGTTCAGAGACTTGAGATTTCCATTGGTAGTGCTCGCGGGCTTTGGTTTCTTCACGCATATACTGGCGGATGCATAGTCCACAGAGATATCAAGGTTAATTGAATAATATTAAGTTTTTTGTTACACTTTCATATTTGATCTTCTATGTTTGCTGTTGCTATAATTTGCAAAGTTAACTGCTTAAACATCACATACTTAAGAAAATTTGATTAATTATCATGTTATATGTATTGGATTAAGTAATATAAGAGGAATAAGGGGCATGTGTGTGGTCAGTTTTGAGATTCCATTCGAACTTCAGCTTGGCCATTTACTTTTTCAGTTAAAGGAGTCAAAAGAATAGCCAATGAACACATCATTTATAAGGATGATGCATAATATACGTCTTTATTTCTTGCATCTGAAGTATACTGCTATTCTACCTTTCAGTAAAACAAGTGCCGATATTTTTAAGTTAATTCAAACTTTATTGAACAGCAAAGGGTACAAAAGTTTTTCACCTACTACTACAATGTATTCTTGTGCAGCCAACCAATATTCTTCTAGGGGATGATTTTGAAGCAAAACTATCAGATTTTGGCTTATCTAAAGTAATGGAGCTTGGTGTTTCAAATGTCAGCTCTGAAGTGAGAGGGACATTAGGATATGTTGATCCTGACTACCGTCAAAATCACCGTGTGAATGCAGCTGGTGATGTATACAGCTTCGGGATTGTACTTTTACAAATTATTTCAGGGAAGCGAGTCATCAATATGAACGTCACAAAGCCTATGCTGCTGAGTAAAATGGTAAAGCCAATGATTGGCCCTTTTCAATCTTTCTGGTTCAATTTTACTGTAACGGTACGTACTCAAAAACGTAATGTATGTTTCTACACAGGCCAAACTCCTTATAAAAGGCGGTAACATTTCAGACTTTGCTGATCCCAGACTGAATGGGGAATTCTCAGTAGATGCTTTTGAGCTCGTGTTCAAGCTAGCTCTCTCGTGCACTGCTCATAAACAGCAGCGCCCATCAATGGAGCAGGTCGTCATTAGGTTAGAGAACGCACTTGAAATCTCAGCAAGAGAAAACGGGGCATATCATGTCACTATTCCCTTATCTGGAAATGATATTTAGTTCTTCTATTTCTAGTTTTGTTACTGAAACTGAACAGAATGTGTAAGGAATTCTTCCATTAATTAACATATAAACAACAACCTTTGCTGGTTTCAGTATTTCACAAGCCTTATGTTTCCTATAAACATATACTATCTGGTATATCTACATCAAACTACGTATATTAGCCAGATATGGGAACCTATTAAAATTTTGATCATTTTCTTCCTCAGCTTTTGATGTAGTTTAACCACTTCCAACATAACTGATGTCTTTATGTCACAATGTTGTCCTGTGAGCACAATAGTTTTACAATATGCTGATAGACTTGCTAATACTCGAAACCCACAAGAGGTGAATCAACTAAAGTTGGCACCATGTGTTCAATTCTTCAAGAATAATAAATAAATTGGTTCTTGAGGAATGAATCTTCAAATCATCTTCACCATACTTGGAAACAATCACAAAAACCGACAAGGTTAAAATGTTCTGCTACCACTGCAATTATCTGAAGAGATTTTCAGTGATGCCACTGGAATGCATGGGGATGAAGCGTTAGTGGTGCAATAACAAGAGGTGATGAAAGTTTGTTTCCTGCTTTTATTTTGATGAATCAATCATTGATGTAGTAGATCTTGGCACCAAGAAAAGATTATATATAAAGAAAATAGGATCGGGAGTAGTTCAAGCTACTTGATGTAACAATCCTACCAAAATCTTATTCATGACATAAAACACCATTTTCATCATCATCTCTCTTCTAGAAAACTTGCATAACGATATCTACAGCCAAACAGGGTTCTTGAGAGGGGTTACTCCTGACTTAACCTTCAAATAGCTCTTGAGACTATCAATACCCTTCTCTCTTCCATGCCCGCTCATCTTGTATCCCCCGAAAGGAATCGAAGCATTTAACCCACACAGTCCCAACTTCCAATGCTCGAGCTAGAGTGTTAGCCTTGCCAATGTTGCTTGTGAAAACCCCAGCAGCTAGCCCGTAACGTGAATTGTTTGCCCTTTTTATCGCCTCATCCAGGTCACTGACCTGAAAAAATTTACTGAATGTAAATCTCTAGCAGTTTGAATTGCCAAGATAACTGAAATTGTCTGAAAGATTAAACACTCACTTAAATTTTAGAATGGTTTGCACTGGTCCAAAGATTTCGTCCTTTGCAATCGCCATATCATCCTGTTGAATATGAGAATTGAATAATAAATCTCAAGTCGGCATAATTGAAGGATGAAGATGTTACAAGAAAGAATATCAACAATTATGTACTTTCACATCGGAGAAAATGGTTGGCTCAATAACGTATCCCTTGCTACCTATTCTTTCACCTCCAGTTATGAGGGAAGCACCAGAATCTAAACCTGATTTTATGTACCCCAGAATCTTTTTGAATTGCTTATCATCAATCTGAGGTTGTGATGACATAGAGAACAAATTAGTCACAAAGGTTTATAAAAGGGTTATAATTATGTATATAGAGAGAATATATATATGTATTAATGTACCTGGGGACCTTGCTCATCACCCTTTCCTAAAGGATCACCAACAACATGTTTCAAAGCCCGTGCTAATTCTTTATCTACGAATTTGTCATAAATACTTCATGTGCAAAAGTACGAGATCCAGGACAACAGCATTGTCCCTGCAAAAAGGAAATTTCCCCATAAAAATGACAATTAACTCGTGAATCATATGGTTTAGAATAAACCTGATTGAAGAACAATGCAGAATGTCGAAGCTCTACAGCTTGATCAACGTCAGCATCATCAACTATGATCATTGGAGACTTGCCTCCAAGCTCCAATGTCACTGGCTTTAAGGTTGCTTTTTGCAGTGAGTCCGAGTATGATTTTGCCTGTATCAGTTGATCCAGTAAAAGCAACCTACAATTAAGTATAGACTTGCTAGGATAAGAAGAGGCTCGATGCCAATCTGCACGACATTTAGACAAGAGTATAGCATTATGTACTGAGAAATACCTTGTCAACTTCCATGTGGCCGGCAATAGCAGTGCCAGCAGTCGGACCAAATCCAGACACAATGTTCAGAACACCTTCCGCGGGAAGTCCAGCCTGTCACGTACATTTAAATTGTAACCGAAAATGTCAGTTTAAACAAAAACTTAACGCCATTATATCACAAGATGGACCACAATTCATCACATCGCAGAGGAGAATCAACTTTGATACATACAAAGCAAACGCAGGGGTCTGCTCTGCAGTTTTAAGCGCGAGCGCGTTTCCACATGCCAGAGCCAGACCAATCTTCCAAGCAAACAGAAGCATCGGGAGATTCCATGGCATAATCTATAATCTGACCTGCAACGCCAATTGGCTCGCGAAGAACTTGCGCGTGATGAGGACCATCAGTTGGGACGTGAGCCCATGTATCTTGTCTGCCCAACCTGTTAAGATTTCAAACAGAAGCTGCATTCTTAACAAATTTCATACAAGAACTTAATCTATGAATAAGGTTAAATACACATAGGACCCCCACCCTGTTAGAATTGGGGGTGGAAACAAACCTCCGACGGCGGAGGAGCTCCGACGAGCTCCGACGAGCTCAAGAATGGCGGAGATGACGCAGGCGAAGTCGACGAACGCAACCTTCGGCGAACGCACACTTCGGCGAACGCACCCTTCGAAGTCGGCGTTCGAACCCCCCCCCCCCCCTCCCCCCCAACCTGACCTTTGCGTCAGGTTTAGCCGCTGGCGACAGGCTGTCGCCAGCTCTCCTCTCCGCCTATAAAAGAAAACCCAGGCTAGGGTTTTGAAGTTGCTGAGCTTCCCCCCCTTTTCTTCCGATTCTTTCTCTCGGTTCATACCCTTTATTTATTAACACTGTAGCTACAGTGTTTATTTGAGAAATCTCAGTTTTGAGATCTGCTCCTAAATTGTAATTTCTTGTTTGATTAATAAAAAATTATCTGTGTGGCTCCCGAGGACGTAGGCAGTTGCCGAACCTCGTAAATCTTGGTGTACTTTTGTCTATACTGCGTTTCTGTTGCATTAGGGGTTTCAGCGTTAAATTCACAACAACTGGTATCAGAGCGTGAAACGATCTAGAGAAAGTCAGATTCAAGTGGGAGCCATGGCCGTAGATGAAGGAAAAATAAGACTTGAGAAATTTGATGGAACAGATTTTGGATTCTGGAAAATGCAGATAGAGGATTATCTGTATCAGAAAAATCTGTATCAACCACTATCGGGGAAGAAGCCGGATTCTATGAAGGAAGAAGAGTGGAACCTTCTAGATAGACAAGCCCTCGGAGTTATCAGATTGACGTTGACTCACAATGTTACGTTCAACATAGCGAAGGAGAAGACCACGACAGGTCTTATGGCAGCACTCTCAAACATGTATGAGAAGCCATCAGCCGCGAACAAAGTTCATTTGATGCGGCGGTTATTCAATCTGAAAATGGCGGAAGGCGCGTCAGTAGCACAACACCTCAATGAACTTAATACGGTTACAACCCAATTGAGTTCAGTTAAGATTGAGTTTGATGAGGAAGTTCGGGCGTTGATACTTTTGTCTTCCCTACCAGAGAGTTGGAACACTACAGTCACAGCTGTGAGTAGCTCGTCGGGAAACAATAAGTTGAAGTTCGACGACGTTCGTGATTTGGTTCTCAGTGAGGAGATCCGACGGAGAGAAACGGGTGAAGCTACAACCTCTTCAGTATTGCATACAGAGTCAAGAGGTAGAAATTCAACCAGAGGAAACGGACGAGGAAAATCAAACTACAGAGGTAGATCAAAGGACAGGAGGTCCAAATCAAGGAATCCAAGCAACAGCTCGAAGGCTATCGAGTGTTGGAATTGTGGAAAGACCGGGCATTACAAGAATCAGTGCAAGAGTGCACAGAAGGAGAAAGAGGCGAAGGCAGAGGTGAATGTCACCTCCACTTCAGGAGGAGACGACGCATTGATATGCTCTTTGGAGAGCAAGGAGGAATCTTGGGTGTTAGATTCAGAAGCGTCGATCCATGCTACATCTCAGAAAGAATTCTTCGAGAAGTATACCCCCGGAAATCTTGGATACGTATATCTTGGTGATGATCAACCATGTGCTATTGTGGGTAAATGCGTGGTAAAAATTAAGTTGAACGGATCAGTATGGGAGCTGAAGGATGTCAGGCATATTCCCGACCTGATACAGGTGTATCTTCTCTTCGGAACTTAGCGATCCTCATGGGAGCTTGAGGATAGATGATTCTCATACTAGCATGAGAATAGGAGGTGTCAAACAGTATAAGGGAACACAGGAGGAAGCGTGGAACAAGACGACGAGCAGAAGAATCGAAGTACCCAGTTTTCAGTCTGTGAGTCGACTCATGACTGTTATGAGTCGACTCATCAGGTTGAGTCGACTCATGACTGTCATAAGTCGACTCATCGCTGGTTGTTAAGTTTTGTCCAGTTTCTGTCGAGTCGACTCATCTCAGTCATGAGTCGACTCATCGAGGGTTTCCTGGTTCGTTTGGGATTCTGTTCACGCGTTTTCCTGTTGGTTTTGGGTCTGGTTATTTACCAAACTGCCATCCACGTTTGTACACCTATATAAGGGATTGTTTTAGGGTTTCTAAACAATCAGAGAGTTAAATCAAGAGAGATTAACTTGTAATTGCTAGATTGAGATTTGGAGAGTTTGTTCTTCAATTCTAGAGTGAGATTGTGAGGGAAAGATTGTAATCTTTTGTTCTTCATAATCTAGAGAAGGTATTTTCCTTCGCCAAACTGAATTGTTCTTGTGTTTTGGTCGTCCTCTTCTCAACCCACCTTTTGGTAATTCCGCGACCAAAGGGTGCTCGCACGGCAACTTGTATCAAGTTGGTATCAGAGCGAACATATCCTACGAAGGGGGCATCCTGTGCATGGTCCTGACTCGTTCGCAATACAAGGAGCTTGGCAAGATCCTTATTTCATTGGAAGGAGTCCGAGTTTTAAGGAAGAAGAAGATGGCTGAAGGAGACAATTCAACGAGGATTGATGCATTGGAGAAGCAGATCGAGACGATAGGTTCGACTCTCACACAACTCGTCAGTCTTATCCATGGAGGTGGCAAACAAGGTGAAGAGTGTTGACGTCGAGAGGCTTGATGACTGGATCGAGCGGATGGAGACGTATTTTACTCTTTATGGCTATTCGTCGAAAGAGAAGATTGTGTTTGCGACTTTGAAGCTTTCAGGGCACGCGTTGACGTGGTGAAAATCCTACTGCAAACAGGAGAAGAAGGCGGTGTCGTGGAACAAGTTCAAGGAGCTACTTAGGAAGCAGTTCTACCCGGTGGGATTCCTTGAAGAACGTTGGTACAAGTGGTACGGCTTGCGCCAAAGGGTCAATCAAACCGTTCAAAAATACACTACGGAGTTCCAGCAGCAGGCGATGGTCCTCAACATTACGACAGAGGAATATTCCGTGTTTATAAAGTATATGACGGGATTGAGCGATCACATCCGAAAGGAGATGAGGCTATTCACGGTGGAATCAATTGCAGAGGCGAGCGTGAAGGCAATTGCCATTGAGGGTAGGCAAAAGAAGGGCAACGAGGCTAAGGGAGACTCCAAACAGACGGGAGGCGAGTCTAGTGGTTCTCAATCTAAGGAGGAGAAGAAAAATGGTGATCCAGGGAAAGCAGAGCTGATTTGTAATCACTGCAAGAAGACAGGACATACAGCTGATCGGTGCTGGGAGAAGTATCCTCATCTGAAACCAAGAGGGTTGAAGAGGAAGGAGGAGAAAAAGGCATACATGATAGCTCAAGGTCCGAAGGAAATCCCGGGGATGACAGAGCCCAACAACAGTCTCAACCTTATGGCGGGAAAACATGCCACAAAAGAGGACGACGACCCGAGAGAGCATCTCTTTGTTCTTAAGTTGCAAGTGAAGACCAGTTTGGTTGATGCCATTGTTGATTCGGGCAGCGAGAAGAATTTGATATCCGAAGCCTTGGTTCAGAAGCTGGGTCTGAAGACGGTCAAGCATCCGAAGCCCTATCCATTGGGGTGGATTCAGAAGGAGGAGAAACTGAGTGTAGTTGATCAATGCACTGTCAGATTTGCGCTCCACGAGTCGTATATTGACGAGGTCACATGCGATGTCGTTCCATTGGATGTTTGTCAGATTATACTGGGCAATCCGTACTTATGGGATAGATATGCGATCTACGAGAGGCGGGCTCAGAAGTACACCTTCACTAAGGATGGTGTAAAGTTCATATTTCGTTCGACATCTCTTCCGAAGGAGACAAGCTTGGGGACGGTGACGCGAGCGAAGAGACTAGTGAATGCAAGTAAGAAGTTTGTCTCGCTATGCATTAGACTTCCAGAAAAGCCATCGACAAAGGATTGCAACTTAGAGCGAACGGTGACTATGACGAGACGCGGGACGAATGAGTTGTTTCCGATCGGATGTCGAGACCGGATTCCTAGCAAGGCCAGGTGGTGCAGAAAAGATGGAGGAGCTCGAGAGTTTCCTCAGCAAAAGTTCTAACTTGAACGGGACTTCAAATTCTTAAAGAGGGGACACATGATACGGGTGTATATTCTCTTCGGAACTTAGCGATCCTCATGGGAGCTTGAGGATAGATGATTCTCATACTAGCATGAGAATAGGAGGTGTCAAACAGTATAAGGGAACACAGGAGAAAGCGTGGAACAAGACGACGAGCAGAAGAATCGAAGTACCCAGTTTTCAGCCTGTGAGTCGACTCATGACTGTTATGAGTCGACTCATCAGGTTGAGTCGACTCATGACTGTCATAAGTCGACTCATCGCTGGTTGTTAAGTTTTGTCCAGTTTCTGTCGAGTCGACTCATCTCAGTCATGAGTCGACTCATCGGGGGTTTCCTGGTTCGTTTGGGATTCTGTTCACACGAATTCCTGTTGGTTTTGGGCTTGGTTATTTACCAGATTGCCATTCCCTACCAGAGAGTTGGAACGCTACAGTCACAGCTGTGAGTAGCTCGTCGGGAAACAAAAAGTTGAAGTTCGACGACGTTCGTGATTTGGTTCTCAGTGAGGAGATCCGACGGCGAGAGACTGGTGAAGCTACAACCTCTTCAGTATTGCATACAGAGTCAAGAGGTAGAAATTCAACCAGAAACGGACGAGGAAAATCAAACTTCAGAGGTAGATCAAAGGACAGGAGGTCCAAATCAAGGAATCCAAGCAACAGCTCGAAGGCTATCGAGTGTTGGAATTGTGGAAAGACCGGGCATTACAAGAATCAGTGCAAGAGTGCACAGAAGGAGAAGGAGGCGAAGGCAGAGGTGAATGTCACCTCCACTTCAGGAGGAGACGACGCATTGATATGCTCTTTGGAGAGCAAGGAGGAATCTTGGGTGTTAGATTCAGGAGCGTCGTTCCATGCTACCTCTCAGAAAGAATTCTTCGAGAAGTA